GGATCCAGTTGCGAAGAAAGTTGTGATTAGTAGAGATGTCGTTTTTGATGAACAGTCTATGTTGCAGCAGAAGCAAGACACGACAGTGGTAGATTTCGAGCAGTTTCCAGTTGAGAAACCAGAAACTTCTCAACCGACTTCTGGTGGTTCCACTACGGATGATTTGCAGGATTATAGTCTCGCCAGAGACAGGGTGAGACGGACGAATATAAAGCCTCCGAACAGATTGGGTTTTGAAGACTTGGTATCTTTTGCACTTACTGTTAGCAGTGATGATCCAGTTACTTTTCATGATGTCGTTACTAGTCAGGAAAACGACAAGTGGATGGCAGCCATGGTTGAGGAGATGGAGTCTTTGAATCACAATCGCACATGGGAGTTAGTTCCCCTTCCTGAGGGTAAGAAGCCGATTGGTTGCAAATGGGTGTATAAGAAGAAAACCAGTAGTAACAGAAAAAGAGGGGGAGAAGTTCAAGGCTCGTTTGGTAGCGAAGGGTTTTTCACAGCAGAAAGGAGTTGATTATGATGAAATCTTTTCTCCTGTGGTCAGGCACACTTCAATCCGAGCAGTACTTGCATTGGTGGCTAGTTGGGATTTGCATTTAGAGCAGATGGATGTTAAAACTGCTTTTTTGCATGGTGATTTAGAGGAGCAGATCTACATGCGGCAACCTGAAGGTTTCACTCAACCTGGAAACGAGCATTTAGTTTGCAGATTGAAGAAATCTTTGTACGGGTTGAAACAGTCTCCGAGACAGTGGTATAAACGGTTTGACTCCTATATGATCAAGATTGGCTACAACCGATGTGAGTATGATTGTTGTGTCTATGTTAAGAGCCTTGATGATGGTTCTTATTTTTCTATTACTGTATGTTGATGATATGTTGATTGCTGCGAAGAACATGGATGATGTTATCGGTTTGAAAACTTTATTGAGTCAGGAATTTGATATGAAAGATTTAGGTGCTGTAAAGAAAATTCTTGGAATGGAAATTTGCAGGGACAGAGACTCAAGGAAACTGCGGCTATCTCAACGGGGTTATGTTGAGAAAATGCTAGAAAGGTTTGCGATGAGCAGCGCGAAACCAGTTAGCACTCCATTGGCGAATCACTTTAAGCTCTCATCAGAACAGTGTCCTAAGACAGATAAGGAAGCTGAAAATATGGCAAAGGTTCCGTATTCTAATGCTGTTGGCTGCTTGATGTATGCGATGGTATGTACTCGTCCTGATTTAGCTCATGCTGTTAGTCAAGTTTGTAAGTACATGTCTAAACCTGGTAAGCAACATTGGGATGCAGTCAAGTGGATCTTTTGGTACTTAAAGGGTACTGTGGGACATGGAATTGTTTTTGGGAGTCAGCGGGATAATCCTTTGGTTGTAGGATATGTGGATTCAGATTATGCAGGTGACTTGGATAATAGAAGATCTACGACAGGGTATGTGTTTACTCTTGGTGGAGGGCCTATTTATTGGAAGTCTACTGTTCAATCTGTCGTGGCACTATCTACAACTGAAGCTGAATACATGGCAGCGGCTGAAGCTGCAAAAGAAGCTTTATGGCTTACTGGTTTAGTGAAGGAGTTAGGTGTTCAACAAGGTGGAGTTCAGTTGCTTTGTGATAATCAAAGTGCTATTCACTTGGCTAAGAATCAGGTGTATCGTGCTAGAACTAAACATATTGATGTAAGGTTCCACAAGATCAGAGAGTTGGTTGCATCTGGAGAGGTTTTGTTTCAGAAGGTACATACTGATGAGAATGCCGCTGATATGTTCACCAAGCCAGTTACGACAGACAAGTTCAAGCATTGCTTGGACTTGTTGAATGTTTCGAGTTGTTAAAGAAGCAAGGTAACCCAAGCCACATTGAAGTTTCCAAGGGGCAGGATATTCGCCAAGGTGGAGATTTGTTATGTATGGCTCATAAAAAGTCTCGTTGTGGGGTTACGAATTATGTGGGTTGGGGGTGTGGGGGCGCAGCCCCCGCGGTACGGTACAGGGTTGATTTTGTAATTATGTACCAGGGTTTTCTATTATAAATAGAGATGTAACCTAGACCTAAAATATCATTGAATAAAACTTCTAGCGCCGCCTAGGCACCGAGGACGTAAGCACATTGCCGAACCTCGTAAAATTCTCGTGTTCTTTCGTTTTCTTTACCCGTTTTCGTCAACAACATCCTCAATGTTTTGATCCTTTTATCGCTATCTAATTTATCCAGTTTGGAATGGTTGTACCTTGCTTCAAATCTTTTAGAACTGGGGAATTTCAAAGCTTTAAGCTACCTTCACTTGTCCAATAACAAATTGACTGGACCAATTCCATCTCATATTGGGGATTGCGGGACTTTGCAAGAATTGTCTCCGAGTAACAATCATATAACTGGAAGCATTCCCATTCAATTATTCTATTGTCTTGGTACTCTTAGTGTAAGTATTCTTAATCTAAGCCATAATTTCATACAAGGAAAAATACCTCCACGATATGGTGACCGGACTTGCTTCAGGGTTTTGGATCTTAGTCACAATAATCTGACTTGATCCCTGAATCTTTGTTCCCTTTGGAAAAGGTCAATCTATCATATAATTCCCTAGAGGGTCCGGTCCCATCACATATTACATGAGTTCATTTGGATCTGACTCATTTCGGGGCAACAACCGTTTATGTGGACATGTCATAGGCTTCCCTGATTGCCCTTATCCTCCCATTGGAAGCACTACAGCAAGCAGCAAAGTGATACACAAGGTGAAAATCATTGTTCCAGTTTTCGGACTTTTAGCCTTGCTATGTTCAGCATATTTACTCTGGCTTAGATGCAGACCAAAATATAAAACCCCTGAACCAAATGCCACAAAAAATGGAGATTTATTCTCCATTTGGAACTTTGATGGAAGAATTGCATTCCAGGACATCATTGAGGCCACAAACGACTTTGACATCTGATACTGTATCGGCACCGGCGGTTATGGTAGTGTTTATAGAGCACAGTTACCGAGCGGAAAGATTGTTGCCTTGAAGAAACTTCACCGCAGAGAACAGAGGTCCCAGCTTTTGGCAAGAGTTTCAAGAACGAAGCCAAAATGTTATCTGAGATACAACACAAGAACATCGTGAAGCTTCATGGTTTTTGTCTCCACAATCGCTGCATATTTCTAATCTACGAATACATGCCCCGAGGGAGCTTATTTTCTATCTTCATGGACGATGCGGAAGCAGAGGAGATGTATTGGAGCAAAAGAGTAAAAGTAATCAAAGATACAGCAAGCGTTTTAGCTTATCTATCATGATTGCCACCCACCAATAGTTCATCGAGACATATCGAGCAATATCGTTTTATTGAACTCGAATTTTGAGGCTTGTGTCTCGGACTTTGGCACCGCTAGACTCCTTGATCCTGATTCATCCAATCAAACAATGCTTGTTGGTACCTACGGATATGTTGCACCAGGTAAACTTTCCAAGCTTAGGGTTTACTTGTTTTTTTTTCTCTTATTTTAACTGTCTCATCAATTGTCGAAGTTTTGTGAATGCAGAGCTTGCTTATACCAAGGTTTGAGTCGAGGCGAGGCAACAATTGCCTTTGCTTGCTTAAGGTCGAACGCAAAGTTCCGGCCAACGATGAAGTGTGTGTCTCAGGAGTTTCTTTCTCAGAAAAGAGCGGTACCGGATCGTCTCCAAGTTGTCTGTGTGTTACAACTCAAGAACTATGACCTGTATATGGACGGTGAAGGCGAAATTGTCGGAGAATGCAGTCCAAGATTGTGGAATTCATGGTTGTTCTTCAACTTAATTCCCATGTCTAGCATTCTTCGAACAAGATAGTAAATTGCTTTCGGGATCACTGTGTATCTTGTCTTCTAGAGATAAAACTTTCATACCAATAAATAAAAGTATTTTCATCAACACCCGCTAGTGTTTTCGTAGGCTTTAATTTTTGGCATAGTTATTGTCGATTAAAGTGAAGATCAAACATTTTATTTATTATTATTTAATTAAAATCAAAATTATGAAAACTCAATCAATTATATTCAATTTGTAATAAATTTATATGTTAACCTGTCAACGAAATGCTTAAGATTATTTAAGAAAATAATTTATACCATCAATCTAATTACAAGCAATCAAACTATTAATATGAATATGTCAAATTAAAATAGACTCAATAATAATAATAATAATAATAATAATAATAATAATAATAATAATAATAATAATAATATAGACAGATAGGTAGATAGGTAGGTAGATAGATAGATAGATAAATAGATAGATAGATAGATAGGTCGGTAAGTAGATAAGTAGATAGGTAAGTAGGTAAGTTTAGATAAATAGATAGATGGATAGATAGATAGTGTGAAATTAATATTTCTATCATTTGAATTAATTTTATTTTATTGAATAATATATTTAGATTTAGGTATTCACTCTTTATCTATTTTATTATTAAAAATATTAAAATTTTATTTTTTAAATAAAATTATGATTTTTTATTTTATTAAGCTGATTACAAATTAATATATGTTATATATACTATCAACCATTTGATTGTAAATACTCAATCATCCTACTGTAACAGATAACATAAATTAAACAAAAATATAAAATAAGTGATTAATTTAATCAAATCAAACACGAATCTCAAATGACAACAATTAATTGTATTCTAAGAGCACTCTAACATTCGCTAGATATATTATAGGTAAAAGAGTAATTTTTGTTTTTGTAGTAAATTTAATTTATTATTTTTTGTCTCTATCGTATTTTTATATTAATTTAATCATCGAAATTACTCAATTACATTACATTAATGTATAACTATTCTCCTAACTTAAAATATTAAATTATAAGTCAGTGTTAAAATGTAAATATGTAATAAGATTAATTTTAAACCCTAAATTAGTGTTAGGGGGTAATAAAGTTATGGTTTAGGATATAGGGTTTATAACCAATTCCAGGGGATCGCCTTAATATTTAATTAAACCATTTTTGTGGGGCAGATATTTTCGTCTCTCTCTAAAATCTTCCCCTCTCACTCTCTGTAAAATCACTTCGTTTGATGCTTTCTCCGTTCGAACTTGGCCCGTTTAATTTCCTATTTCTTTTCGCAATCAATCGAAGAATTTGATTTCTTGAGGTAATTTTTTGATTGTTTGAATTCTAAGATGTCTAATTCTAGAAACCGTGAATTCGTTGACGATCGCTTGGATCAAAGCGGCAACGAAATGATCGATTCATCGGACGCGTCATCTTCAATGAACGGCATTGTTGAGGCCTCTGGAATGGCATCGAGACAGAACGGCGAGGAAAGGAACGGAATCGGACTCACGGAGCGGTTAACCGACATAATCGTTGAGGAAAACGATGGAGATTTGCTGTTTCAACAAAGCGATCGAGAGGATAGGATTTTGCTATGGTTACAAGCTTTGGATGTGCAAGTAATAGGCGCCTGTCGGACCAATGAAAGGTTAAAGCCTTTGTTGAAAACCAGTGTCTCAAACGGCGTTGCCGAGGATCGATTGTTAGCTCATTTGAGTCAGGTATATTGATAAATTTGAAGCTTTTGTTTATCCGTTTTAATTGAACTCTTAACATGAAAATTTAGTTGAAATTTGTACTTGCTTCGTAAAATTTTCGATTTGGTTTGCTTGTGTGTTTAATTTGATTTGTTTTCATAAAATCTCAACACTTTGAGCCATCGGAAGTTGGTATGATGGCGACGTGTTTTTGCATACCTTTGGTTTCAATTCGAGTGGGGAAGATCAACAAACAAGGGATTCATTTTCAGCCTACTGCTTTAAGGTAATTGAATATTTATTGATATTGTTGGATTTATCATAGATTAACCTGGCCTGGATATCGTGTTCAGTTTATGAATATATATTATTCTTTGTTGTTGCAAACCATGAGCATTTATCCATGACATATGTCACACAGCCATATGCTTATATATTGTCAACAAGTTCTATAGAATTTTTACATTCTGCTCTCTCTAGAAACTATTCTTTCATGGTATATTTGTTTCACTTAAATCTGGGATCGTCAAATTAGTTAGTTAATCATTAGTTTGGAATATTAAAGACAAATTATAGATGTAGCACATTTTCCCCTAGATTTTTATCCATAATGTAATGGTCTCATTCCTTTGACCTTTCATGATCCTTAAGCATATAGTACTTTCGCAATTTACCTTGGATTACTACTACTCTTTTCTGCCCTTTTAGGGTTTTGATCTTATTTTTGAAATTATGGAACTATCAAATTAGTGAGCTAATGCTTAGTTTGAAATATTACAGACTAATTATGGATATAGCACACCTTTCCCTAGATTTTCTTCCATAATTCTTATTCATTAGTGATACCTTTTATCTTTCATAGTCTTTAAGCTTATAGCATTTAGGCAAATTGCCTTGGATTACTGCAACTCTTTTCTACCCTTTCTGTCTCTGTTTGGGAATTAAGATGGTTTTAATCAACCGCATAATGTTATACGGTAATGCTTTCAATATTCCATGCAGGCAGCTGATATAATTATAAAACATATATGATTTAGAATGTTCTGGTTGTCATAGTATGTAACCCATATATAATAATGTAAGTTTGCATGTAATGTATTATCACACATTTACTGACATTTGCAAGTAACATATTTCCTTGTTTTTCTTATATTAACTCAACTTCGCTACATTGGCGGCTCCAACCCTTTTCTTAATCTTTGAATTTGGTCTAATTCTTAATTGTGGTGATTGTTTCTCTTTTGATCATGATTGATGTTTACTAAAGGCATTATTCTTAATATAGCCTTGTGTTGAGTCCATATCTGATCAATTTCATGATTTATTATATTGGTGCATCTTATCTGGTTGCATTCAAAGCATGGTTAGAAGTTTGGAGTTTTGTCTAATTTATCATGCTTTGGTTACTTTTGTCTGTAAAAAACTCTATATCTGTATCTTCTATTAACATTTGCTTATAGTGTTCTAATCTAGCAACTAGTTGAATTGATTTCATGTGTTGAAATCTGTTCTGTAGTACCACGTTTACTGTACTTGACAATTTGAATGGAAGGTGTATATCTTGTTGTTGATAATTAGTAGAAATTGCAGGGTTCTATTTCAGCTTGTTGTTGGTCATCATGTTCATGCTTCCAAATAAATATATCTTTTCGCTTGTAGGTAAAGTGGGCGTATTCTGTAATGATCTCTGAATTTTGAGGAAATAAAGGTAGTTTCATCTCCTATATTATGTATATGATTGGCTGCTGCTGTTTCGTGGATATACGGTTCTTTATCAAGGTTGCTTAAGTCCAAGATCGAGTTCTTTCAAAGAGGAATTGGCTTGAAACTTATCTTTCCCAAGGAGCACTGCCAAGGATAAGTTACGAAGGCGCGGAGATAACTATCATCTGGTAGCTGAGAACCTTACAATTGCTTCACCTATTACAAACAATTCTTTGGAATGTGAAATCGACAAGAGTTGTTCATTTACTCCAAGTTTCCTTGAATCACTTGAGAAATTTACGGTTCCTCCAACTCTGAGCAGTGTTTCCCAAGTTTCCACCTTAGGTTCTCCCTTCTTTTCTCCTTACTATTGTTGGTGCCCCCTGGATCATCTACTGTGCAACACACAGCCGCCTCTCATCTCCCTGCCTCCTCAATCGGATCTTTCAAGCTTCCGCCACTTTCGTCAATATTGCCAACAAATGGTGTATCCAGCTCATTGAAACCTCCTCTTCCTCTTGGTCGTGCCAATGTTCCCTCCCTTGATTTTTCCAGCTTTCCTCCCAGAACCGTTGGTCCGACTGCCCTTGGCAAGTCACAGCAAATTCCAACCTTCACACCTTTGATTTGTGATCCCATAGTTCATATTCCGGTCATCGGCGTTTGCTCTTCAGGACAAGGCTACTTGGTTAGTGCTGGTCCTACCATATCAACTACAATCCCTCCATTGCATCCAAACCTTGTGAACCCATTATTACCCGATGCTACCAATTCTGTGGTGGAGAAAGGTGCAAGAGAAACTCTCCGGCTGCTCATCAGCAGCTCAACTCAGAGCAACCCTCCATTGATTGATGTACTACCAGCGGTTCTAACTGCTACCGACGAGAAAAAGGGTATCCTTGTTACTGGAAGCAGGGGGCTGTACGGTGGAACTAGAGATGTTAGCGGCATTGCCACCATGAGTTTCGCTACACTTTCGTCAACCTCCATGGAAGATAGCTTTATAAGACAATGTAGCAGCAGTCATGATAATCCCGATACGAAGAAGCCGAGGGAATCTATGCTCGGAAGGTTCTTGTTCAATCAGTGATGGCAGTGCTGCTAAGCTTTCGGACTGAAAAGGAGTTTAGTGGTCTAAATAAAACGAATAGGCAATGTTTTTGCTTTCCGTGTAGATCTTTTGTTGGTTGAAAGTGAAAACTGTAACGCAATCTGCAGTTCGTCATATTTCTAATTTCTACCATTTCTTGAATGCAAGTGAGATTCATTGAGCGTGGCTCCATGGCTTTCGTTCATGAAATCTATTCACTTTTATAATATGTTATTTTATTTTTATATATTATATTATATTTGTTCTATCTCGGTTAAAATATTAGAGTTGACTTGATCAAATTTTTTAACTTTAATATCAACGATTTTAAATATTTTAATTTTATAAATATATATTTAATAACTACTACATTTAAAATAGTTTTATAAAATCAATAAGATACTTTAAATAGTAAGTAGTTAAAAGTTGAAAGAAAAAAAGGTCAGATAAAAATTAGAATTTAACAACTTCATCCGGAACGGGATGAGTGTTGTAATGTATCTGACCTACGTATATATATGGAGATTCTACGTATAAAAAGGGGGACGCTAAATATTTGCATAGGATAGGTAGCGTCCCCCTTTGAACCTTTCCTTATGAAAATGTGTTTACCTTACTGGCTGTCCAGTAAATGTGATGTCTTTGAACTGTCCTGTCGTTTGTGTAAGCGATGACATACCTCACACAAAGATCTTACTGACAAGAGTTTGGTTCTCATGGTTATGTCCATATAGCAGTGGATATCTCTTGGTTCTGCAAGAGCTTAGAGAACTATGCCCCAATAGTCTCTTTGAAGTTTCTCCACTTCACTCTCACATAGGTGACTTTGTTGTTCGATTCAACGAAACACATATTGGTCATTAAAATCATTGTTTAACCTTATCCACATTTTAACCACTGTTTTCATCATAGGAATAGGCTTGGGGATGAAAACCCCCCCACAATGACCTCACCAGGTCTATGCAAGTAGGTTGTCCCATTGAACCTAGATCTTGGGATATCAAGTCAACTAGGTTGGGTGTTCCTTCACATAAAGCCTTAACAATTCATGGGCTTTAGTCTCATTCCTCTTGATGTTTATCAACTTGATATCGATTCAACCCATTAGTTAGCGGATCCGTAATGTTATCTTTTGATCTTACAAAATCAATAGAAATAACTCCAGTTGAGATCAGTTATCTAATGGTATTGTGTCGACGTCACATGTGTCTTGACTTACCATTATACATTACATTTTGTCCTCTACCAATTATTGTTTGGTTATCACAATATATACATATTTTGGGTACATGTTTGGCCATTCAGGAATATCCTCCAAAAAATTTCGTAACCATTATGCCTCTTCTCTAGTTTTGTCCAAGGCTACAAACTCAGATTCCATCGTGGATCTGGTTATAATTATTTGTCTTGAGGATTTCCATGACACAACTCCTCTCCCCAATGTGAAAATATAACCATTTATGCCTTTGGTATCTTGAATATCATATATCCAATTGGCATTAGAGAATCCTTCTAACACAGCAGGATCTCTAGAATAATGCAATCCATAGTTTCGAGTATATCTGAGATATCTCAATACCCTTACAATTGCTTTACAGTGTTTCTCCCCTGGATTTCTTGTAAATCTTCTTAAACTGCTTACAGTGAAAGCAATATCAGGTCTAGTGCAACTCATAAGGTACATTAGACTGCCTATGATCCTTGTATATTCCACTTGATTAACACTTTCACCTTTATTTTTAGATAGATGTTGACTTATATCTATCGGAGTTTTGACTACACCAGAATCATCCTTGCTAAAATTTTCAAGAATCTTGTCTACATAGTGTGACTGAGTCAATATGAGACCTTCATATGACCTTTAGATTTGGATGCCCAAAATCATGTCAGCAAGTCGCATGTCTTTCATGTCAAATTTGGAATTTAACATATTTTTGGTACGTTTTATCATTTCATTGTTACTTACAACAATGAGTATGTCATCAACATATAGGCATAGGATTATATATCTATCAACAGTGATTTTGACATGCTCACATTTGTCACACTCATTTATTTTAAATCCATATGATATCATAACACTATCAAATTTTTCATGCTATTGCTTTGGTGCTTACTTAAGTCCATATAATGACTTTACCAACATACATACTTTCTTTTCTTGTCTTGGAGTTACATAACCCTCAGGTTGTTCCATATAAATTTCCTCATCAAGGTCTCCATTAAGAAAAACGGTCTTAACGTTCATTTGATGTACTTCTAAATTTCGTAAAGCGATAATTGCAAGTATCATTCTTATAGAAGTTATTCTTGATACGAGTGAATATGTATCAAAGTAATCAAGACCTTCCTTTTGTCGGTACCCTTTAATAACCAATCTGGCTTTGTATTTATCAATTGTTCCATCTGCTTTCATTTTTCGTTTGAAAATCCATTTAGAATTTAATGGTTTAATTCCATGAGGAAGATCCACTAATTCCCACGTATGATTTTGCATGATGGAATCAATTTCACTCTTGATGGCTTCTTTCCAAAAATTACTTTCAGATGAACGTATAACTTCGCTATAAGTTACAGGTTCAGTCTCTAGCATATAGGTTAGAAAATCCGATCCAAAGGATTTTTCTACCCGTGCCCTTTTACTTATTCTTGGCTCTATCTCGACTTCAACCTCTTGTTGGAAGTCTTAACTATTATCATTAATAGTTTCTAAAGTTCGTTTCCTTGAACTTGAGCCAACTTCTCTAATTTTACAAGGAAATATATTTTCAAAGAATGAGGCATTTTTAGATTCTAATATCATATTCTTATGAATTTATGGATTCTTTAATTCATGCACAAGAAATCGATATGCATTGTTGTGGTGAGCATAGCCAATGAAAATACAATCCACTATTTTAGGACCTATTTTCATTTGCTTTGATAAAGGAGTCATTACCTTTGCAAGACACCCCCACACTTTCAAGTAATTGTAAGAATGTTTCTTGCCTATCCACAACTCATATGGTGTCTTGTCTTTTTTCTTGCGGGATACCTTATTTAAAAGGTAATTTGCTGATAAGACAGCTTCCCCCACATGTTCTGTGACAACCCAAAACTTCCTAGCATAGCATTCATCATTTTCTTTAATGTTTGATTTTTTCGCTCTGCTACTCCATTCGATTGAGGAGAGTATGATGGCGTTACTTCATGAATAATACCATGTTATGTACAATATTGACCAAATGGTTCAAAATATTCACCACCACGATCACTTCTCACCCTCTTAATCATTTTGTTAAGTTGGGTTTCAACTTCCTGCTTATAGAGAATAAATTTTTCTATAGCTTCATCTTTGCTTTTAAGCAAATATACATAGCAATATTTTGTGCTATCGTCAATGAAGGTAATAAAATATTTATTCCCTCCTCTAGTTTGAACAAATTTTAAGTCACAAACATAACTGTGTATTAGATCAAGAGGTTATGTATTTTTTTCAACAGGTTTAAATGAAGACCTTGTTAGTTTAGCTTCAACATATGTTTCATATTTATGATTATAATTAATGTTAAATAGGGGATTGTGTTCTAAGTTAATTAATCTACGTAAAGTATCCTAATTAACATGTTTGAGTCTACCATGCCATAAATTTAATGACTCAATCATATAAACATAAGAAGAAGAAACATTCTTATTTATATTTTTAGCTTTTACAGAGATAGCATTGAGTTTCCACACATTGTTCAATACATATCCCCTTCCATAAATATTCCCCCTTTTGATAAAACTAACTTATGGGATTCAAACACCATCATAAAGTCATGTATACTTAGGAGGGTCCTAGAGACAAGGTTCTTTCGTATGTCAGGCACATACAACACGTTTTGAAGTTTCAACTCTTTGTCAGAAGTCATCTTTAAAATTACAGTGACTTTCCTCTTGATCTTGGAAGTTGCAACATTGCCCATATAGAGCTTTTCTCCTTTCTCACAAGAAACCAACTCTGCAAAGGAGTCATTGTCACAACAAATATGGCGTGTGGCACCAGTATCAAGCCACCATTCTCTTGGATTTGAATCGACCAAGTGAACTTCAGTGACCACAACACATAGGTCAAGTTTAGATACTTCCTTGGAAATTTTTGTCACAACATTAGCCTATTTTGTTCTGGACCTTTTTGGAAGCCCACATTCAGATGACATGTGTCCCATCTTATTGAAATTAAAGCATTTCCCTTGGAATTTTTTCTTCTTAGAAATACCGCCTCTTGGTCCTAGTTTAGACTCAATTTAAGCTTGCTTTCTTTTCTTGAAGTCCTTTTTGACTTCCATCACATTTGCCTTGGTAATGTTATGATTGGCTGTTTTGTTTAGCCTTTTAGCCGTTCATCGATTGTCTTCTTCAATCTGAAGTCTCACAATCAGATCTTCCACTGTCATTTCTTTTCTCTTATGCTTAAGATAATTCTTAAAGTCATTCCAAGTAGGCAGAAGTTTTTCAATAATGGCTGCCACCTGAAAGGATTCACTTATAATCATCCCTTCTGCGAGAATACCATGAATGATCAGTTGGAATTCTTGCACATGATTCACAACATTTTTAGAATCAACCATTGCAAAGTTTAAGAATTTGGCAACTAAGAATTTCTTAGCACCATCATATTCAGTTTTGTACTTATGGTCCAATGATTCTCATAGTTCCTTAGTCATTTTTTTTACGTTGTATACTTCATAAAGTGCATCAGATAAACCATTCAAGATGTAGTTACGACATAGAAAATTAGAGTGCTTCCATGCTTCGTTAATGTTGAATGTGGTTGCAGCATCCACTTCATCCTCTCTAATAATAGGAGGATCATCCTTCAAAAATTTGGCCAGATTCAATGTCGTCAAATAAAACAACATTTTCTGTTGCCATGTTTTGAAATTCTCTCCATTAAATTTCGCAGGCTTTTCATTATGACTCATGGTCATAGGTAACGTTTGGCTCGTAGTCTGAGTCTGTGTAGCGACAACCGCGTTAGATTGTGAATTGGATGAAGTATCAAACATTTTTCTGTAATCGGAATCAAAACCGAAATAATAAATATAATATGAAACGAAATACATATTAACCTAACTATTACCACGATAATCTGTTTGATTTTAGATTGAACTACAACACAAGGAATATGTCTTAAGATTGTTGAAAATTATTGAAAAATAGTGTTGTAGTATTATAATATAAAAATTTCGTTTCAATAATAAAGTT